GGGGGAGTGGGCGGGGCCATTGGGTGTCCCCCACATTGGTCTCCTTCCCCCTCCTCCAGCCCCCCAACCCCTTACTCACTGGCTCCAGAGCCCTAGTACTGAAACACGTGGCCTCACTAGCTGTGTTTCAGCGCCAGGGCGAGGGGCAACTATAGAGACGCTCTGGCAGCCAGAGCGTCTCTATGGAGCACCCAGCCTCCAGTTCTGACACTTTTTTAAATGTTGATTTTTCTTTCTTTTTTTTTTTTTTTTTCTTTAGACCCCTGGATATCCAAGGGTCTAATTTTCTCCCTGCGCTGCAAGTTTACAGCACAGGGAATATTTTTTTCATTGTTCCCACATGTGCCTGTTGCCCCATCTCAAAGGGGTTTAAGGCAGGGCAAGAGGCATGTGTGCACTCGTGTGGACGCGGCCATAAAGTCATGTAGTCCAGCACCCTGCTCAAGGCAGGTTCATCCCTGACTACACCAGCCCAAGCAAGTGTCCGTCCTACCATGTTCTTGAGACTTTCCAGGGATGGAGGTTCCACAGTTTGTCTGGGTAGCCTGTTCCACTGAGGCTTGACCACCCTCATAGTCAGAAAGTTCCTCCTAATTTCCAACCTCTGCTGCTGCTTGAGTGCATTGCCTCTTGTCTTTGTCCCCTACAGCTACTTCTGTCCTTTCTATAATTACCCTTCAGGTATTTTAAAACTGTTATCAAATCCCCACTCTGTCTTCTCTCTTCCAGACTAAATAACTCTTGTTCTTTCTGCTTTTCTTCATAAGTCTTGTTTGCCAGGCAGTAGGGAAGCTGAACAAGCCCTTATTCCATAGACCGTCCCTTGAGCATATGTGTGAAGAAATTCTATTTTTTGTTAGTCAAGTGATGGGTTTTAGATATCTACATGGCATTTGAATCACTTTACACAGAGGTAGCTATTCAGTTTCTTGCCAATCTGGCCATGTAATTGGGCAGGCATACTAGTATGTACACAGAAGGCCCTGCACTGGATGTGTATGTACCAGGCTACATGCATCACCCCGGTGGATACATAACAGCATCTAAGGCCTGAAAAACATGGTCTGTCACAAACCCACAACTAGCATATATTAGACACAGAAGAAGGGCAGCCCTCCCATGTTTTAGTCCCAATACCTGGGGGAGAGGAAGGAAGGGTGAGGGGCCTAGGGTACTTACCATGAGGTCAGAGAAACAGGTGTTAGTCCTTCCTCACTGCAACACTCTGACTTCCCAGCATAGTGCTGTAACCACCCAGCCACTCAGATATTTTCTAGGACCCTCTGTAGCACTCTTTTTGAAGCTGGCCCCCTGGGCAGCCAGGAGAGAGGGAAACATGGGGCCAGGAGGAAGAGAGCAAGGCAGAGTATATGTGGCTTAGTATGGTGACTGGTGGTTGGAAAAGTGGGGGCTCTAACTTCTAGCTTAGGGCTGTACTTCCCATTGAGGCAGAAACTTTCCCATCTACTATTCATTCATTTCACCCAATGACTATATTAAACCCAAGGGGTAGAGGCCCAGCTCCAAAAGGAAGGCCAGAGAAGGTTTGGGGTAATGCCTGACTTGGGGTGTGATGATTAGAGCACTTGTTAAAGGCAGGAAGATGCAGGTTCAAATGCCCTCTGGGCAAGAGTGGCTTAGAGCCTGGGTTTGCACTTTTCCCGGTGAGCCACTTAGCCACTGAGCTACTGAGGTTAAAACATAGGGGACCCTCCTTCTCCACCATTTTGTTGCCAGGGGCACATGTCCACATACATGTGTATGCAGTTGTCTATGCACACAGAGTTATGCAGCCAGGAATGGAATAGCTGTCTGCATGTAGGTGCCAAAAATACCATATAGATGACAAAAAAACTGCCACTTTGACTAGGGGTGCTCAATCTCTGGCCCACGGCACCTTGTCATCTGGCCTGTGGAGCTCCCCCCAGGACCAGAAATTTGGGGCAGAGGGGAGAGCACCAGTCCCCTGCTGCCAAATCTCTGGGTCCACAGGGATCCCCAGGCCCTGCATACTGGATCCAGTATCCAATCCCAATATTCAGGGCTGGGAATGGGTAGTGCTAGGGCCCAATCCTGGTGTGGGGAAACAGAATGTAGCAGTATTGGGTCCCCAGGACTCAATCCGGCCCACAGGTGGGTCCCCACACCACTCATCTGGCCAGAGGGTCAAAAGGTTGAGTACCACTGACTTACACAATCAAAAAGAAATAGAATTCCAGACCCAGTGTTTCCAGTGGTGACTTAGCCAGTGGCCAGGTACAGACGTTCCACTTTTTTACCGGTGTAAGTGATCAAAAACTAGTGTATATCCATAACAGAACAGAAGTTTGTCTCACATAGATTGGTTTAAAAATGATGTAACCCAGTCTAAGATTTACCCCCCACCCCCTTCCCCAAAGGGTGAATGTGTTCTGTTCACTACCAATCTAAACTATGCTGCTTACAGAAAACTGTAACTTAGATCTATTCTGCCTTGGGTTTTTTTTAAATGTCTGTACCTAGCCAGTGTGTTAAACGTGCATCTGGTAGCTGTTGCTTGAGCACCATGGATGGATATTTTTTGTGTCTGGGCAAGGAATATGAAGCTCCAACATCTGTCCTCTTCTCAAATGTTCTGAATAGAGGTGGGATCTACCCCTTGTTATTTAATATTAATTATATAGAAGTTAGAAATCCTAAGAGATCATCACAGAAAGTTCTCATGGATCTGCTTTTTTAGGTAAGTTCCCCGTGAAATCCATCCACTGATTCAGTGAAAGCTTGATACTGCATTAAAGAAACTTGTGTTCCTAGTCAAATTCCTTAGGCTTGTATACATAAGCAAATGGAATAGGTAGCCCCTGACCTTCTTTAAGGTTTTCATGGCAGCTTCTTTGCCTGGACTATTTTCTCTCACTTGGTAAGTGCAATTTAAAGTATCTTATATTGCCTTTGACTTTTTTTCAGACCCTCATAGAAATATTTGAAAGAATTGGTACCACCAACATTGCTGATCTTGTTGCTGGTCTCCTGACCATTGTTGTCTGCATGGCAGTTAAAGAAATAAATGATCGATTCAAACACAAGATTCCGATTCCCATTCCTATAGAAGTCATTGTGGTAAGCAAATAACAACATAGTAGATGAAGCTCATTGCAAGACATGAGTAGTCTTTCAGTACTAAAACTTGTTTTATTTGATTACAGACGATAGTAGCCACTGGTATTTCTTATGGTGCTGACCTGGAAAAAAAATACAATGCAGGCATTGTGAAAAACATACCTAGAGGGTGAGTGCCTTTGTTCTGAGTGCAGCTAATATTTTAAATGACTATTAATGTCTATAGTAAGAGAAAAAAAAAAGCAAAGACGACTGCAGTCTGCTCAGGAGTTTTACTTCTCATTTTGTAAGTATTTCCATACATTTACCAGGGTTACTTTTTCTGCATCTGTAAAAGAGGAATAATAATAATATTTATCTGACTCATTGGGGGCTAGCTGCAGAATCAGCTACTGTTGCCAAAGTGAATTTTTGCAACGGAAAACACTAAAATATTATTATTAATTGGATTTTGTAGTATTTTCTATTACAAAAAATCACTTTGGCAACAACAGCTGATTCTGCAGATAACCCCCAATGAGTCAGATAAATATTATTATTAATTGTATTTGATCTGACTCATTGGAAGTTATCTGCAAAATTATAAGTTACTGTTGGTAAAGTGAGTTTTTTTGTAATGGAAAATACTACAAAATTCAATTGTTTTAAATAAAAATACTCAAATACATGTACAATCCTGAAAACCCATTCTCATGTGAATAGTCTTATCATAGTCTGTATCTATACATCAGGTTTTAATTCTAAAATACAATTTGTATCTTTGCAAGAATAAAGTTTTCAAGGAATTAACTGAGTGATTGTCCTGAAAGATTCTAATCACTTAATAGCAAGAACCTGTACATCCTAGATGATGCACAAGCTCCAACTAATTAATTCTTGTGGGAACATGAGGCTGGATATAAATGTTGTTGAGACCTTCTGATGAAAAGTGCTAAGTATAGAACCTGATGTATTATTGTTGTAACAGTATAATTAATCACATAATGTCCTTCATTCAACCTTCAAAATATATTTCTTCCCTTTGCTTTTGCAAAGTCAAATTTTTATCTTGCTCAGACCAATGGGAATTTTGTTTCTAAGTAATATGGTCAAGATTAGGGCCATATGAAGCAAGATAATCATATTTTATGTAAGTAGGTCTTTCTACTTTTGTATTAACTTGGGATATTACCATTCACTATGTACATATCTGCTTTTGAAAGTTCTTAGCATTTCTAGTGAATGCAGTTTTTGATCAAAGCTGATGATATAAATATATTTTCATGAATGTTAGGTTTTTGCCTCCTGTACCTCCAGTTGTCAGCATGTTTTCACAAATGGCAGCAGCTGCATTTTCCATTGCTGTGGTCGCTTATGCTATTGCTGTGTCTGTGGGGAAGGTATATGCAACCAAGTATGATTATGCTATTGATGGAAACCAGGTATGTGAAACCAAAGTAGTTTAAGATCTAAGGAAATTAAAGTTAAGTTGATGTTTGCTTACACGGCCACACGGAAAAAATATAGATTATTTAAATGGTTCACATCTGAGTGAACTCTAATGTGTAATATTAAACTATTGCAAGCAGCAGATAACATGTGGGCTTCGGTTACAGCATATTACAAATTTAGTACATGGAGATAAGAGAGGTGTGAACTACACACAGTATTGGTCCCAAGCCCCAGTCCTTTGTGTTGCTCCAGTAAACTAAAGGCACTTAAAGCTTCCCTGAAAGGTTAACTACTGGTAATCTTTATTCAGGGGAAGTATCTGGTGGTGTGTAGAGATGGTATGACTGACTCTATGTAAGTATTGATCCACAGTTACACCTGCTTTTCATTTCTCTGTGCATGAACATGCTTTGAGATGCATGATTTTGAAGTGTAGGGGATTGTGCTGAACAGGTAGAGGGGTTTTGGAAGACTGCTTCAGTCAATTTAAGTTAAACTTGATCAAAGTTTCCCAGTCCCTGGAGGCCAGGGACCTCACATACGCTAGTGTTCCTGGCTTCAGGGCAGCTGTGCTGGGGATCCAGGCAAGGTTCCTTCAGAACCCTGCCTTGGATTCAGTGTAAGTTGATCAACACTGATATGTTTTGAACAAGCATTTTGGATTCAATGAACCAGCAAATCTTGATAAAGCTTTGTTTTATTGGCAGATGTCCAACCAGCTCTATTGGTGATAAAATGTTGTGCATCAAGTAAGGGCTAGTCTAAACACAGTTTTTTAATAGGTTTAATGATAATTTAGAAACCAACATAGTTAAGGTATAGCTCTCATCTATGGATACAGTTATACTAGTATAAGAATTCTTATAGTAATATAACATATTAAGATGAAATTTTTGGAAATCAGCCATTTACCTTTATTGGTAAACAGAAAATTACCTTTTATAGGTAAATTTCTCATGAGGGAGATGTACCAATTTATCTTTACTGGTGTTTGAACTAAATCAGTGCAAAAAACAGTGTAAACAGGTTCCAAAATACTTGCCAGAACTGGTGTTACTAATACAGTGTTTTGTGAGCGACTACTGTACATTTCACTTTCCAGACTCCTACAGGAAAATATTGTCATTTTGGACTGCAAATTTATCTTAAGAAATTTACATTTACATCCTCATTTAATCTTCCTCTAGGAGTTTATTGCCTTTGGGATCAGCAATGTGTTTTCAGGAGCTTTTTCCTGTTTTGTTGCTACAACTGCACTTTCACGTACTGCTGTCCAGGAAAGCACTGGTGGAAAAACTCAGGTAATGAGCTTTTCTAGCTACTACTTTTCAAGATAGTCCTATTTAATGTTGCATAGGGCACAATCTAACCACAGTATGCTCCTGTAATATCATAGAATTATAGAATCATCATAGAATCATAGAAGTAGGGTCAGAAGGGACCTTGTAGATCTTCAAGTCCGACCCCCCGCCTGGGCGGGAGAAAAGACTGGACTCAAATGAGTCCAGCCAGGTAGTCATCAAGCCTCTTCTTAAAGATCCCCAGGGTAGGAGCCAGCACCACATCCCTAGGAAGTTGGTTCCAGCTCCTAGCCGCCCTAACTGTGAAGTAGTTCTTGTGGATGTCTAATCTAAACCTACTCTCCAATAATTTGTGTCCATTGTTCCTTGTCATGCCAGGGGGCGGTAGGGGAAACAGTGTCTCCCCTAAACCCTTCTGGTCCCTCCTAGTGAGTTTATAGACAGTCACCAGGTCCCCCCTCAGCCTTTTCTTGTGGAGGCTGAACAGGTTTAGGTCCCGCAGTCTTTCAGTGTAGGGTCTGCCCTGTAGTCCCCGGATCATGCGGGTGGCCCTCCTCTGGACCCTTTCAATGTTGTCCACATCCCTCCTGAAATGGGGCGCACAGAAGTGGATGCAGTACTCCAGCTGTGGCCTGACCAGCGTCACATAGAGAGGGAGGATCACCTCCCCGGCTCTACTCGAGATGCACCTGTGGATGCACGACAAGGTCTGGTTAGCCCTGCCAACCGTGACCTCGCATTGTCGGCCCAGTATATATGGGGCCGACAATGCATAACAGCATAACAGTATGCTGGTGTTAATTATCTTACTTGTAGTTGTACTGGTGCTGACATTTGAACCCAGACCTCTTTGCAGTAAAATCACGAGAAGCTACTAACAGGAAAAAAAAGATCAGCATCTCAGCAAGTGTAATTGGTTTATGAACAGTGTGCATCAGCCGCTAGAGGAAGACTAGGACTTCCTAGTGTCCTTACACTGCCATGTGGAACACGGAGTAGTTGTAGATTTTCTCTTCTTTATAGACAGATCAGCCTTCCTGAGAATATTAATATATGTGTAGTGATTTACGTGGGCTGCTGTGGCTTATTTGACCTCTCTAGTTTAATTGTTTCAGCATTTGTTCATGTACATTTGAAGAAAATAATATGTTAGCAGTTTGCTTGTTTATAAAAATGTGACATAAAGCTATCTATATATTATTCTTAACGAACCTGGAAACATAGTAGAAAATTTAAAAACACTTACTACAGATAAATACTATCTTCTTTGCAGGTTGCTGGCCTAATCTCAGCTGGGATTGTTATGATTGCCATTGTTGCTCTGGGGAAATTGCTAGAGCCCTTGCAAAAGGTACTATATTTCACCTATGAAGTACACTTGCTGACATACCATTTAAATCCAAAAAAAGGATATATATTTTTTTTTGTTGCAATTTCTCAGTTGGTCTAATAAATGCAATAATCTAGAACTCTTGGTTCAGAGATGATACCTTTTAAGTCCAGACACTCAACTGTAGTGAACTGGACTGGTGTCTCCAGCTGAGGCTCTGTTCCATAGTATACAATGAGGATATACCTCATAATGAGAAGATGTATTTAAGCACCCTAAAGTGCATTTCTTTCTTATGAATAATGCTGTTTTTACTATATATCTCCACAGTCTGTGTTGGCAGCTGTTGTCATTGCCAACTTGAAAGGGATGTTCATGCAGGTATGTGATGTTCCCAGATTGTGGAGACAGAATAAGGTGGATGCTGTAAGTAATCTACTTTTTTTCCCTAAATAATTAAGTATTGGTTCTCTTTATGGTTTTTATCACTCCCCAGGTTTCTCCTAGCTTCCACATCCTTTTTATTCACATAAACAGAATTAAACCATATCCTCTGGTTCATAATGGCTATTTTTGTGCTCGTCTCCAATACATATGTTGCCCCTAAAGCAGTGAAAATTTCAGATGCAGTCAGTGAAAATGTCCTGATGTGTTGGGACCACTGTAGCAGATCTTTACCACCGTAATTATCAGCATCCTGTCATAAAGTTCCAGGTTATGGCATCCCCTTACACTGGTAATCCCTGGCTATTGGCAACCAGCACAGTGTACAGCAGTTTGTGAAGCTGGAGCCTGTAAATATGTCTTAATCTCCTTTATCATTCTGCTTTTCAAATTTGCTTTGCCATCTTAGATGATCTAGGGAATATGGCCCTTTATGTTCTGATTATGAATCAGTTCGTAAATGATTCTCAAACGTTTCCAGATACATTGCAATAGCAACATTATTCTTCACCATTCCAGAACCAATAGCTCCCCACAGTCTTCACTTCACTTTTTTTTTTTAGAGCAGGAATAATATGAACAAGAATGTGTGCATAAGGGTTCCAGGCACAAACACACCTAGTCATGGGCAGATCTAGGATTTTGAAAAGTGGGGTGCAGTTAGTGTGGCGCATCATCACCAGGGATCCTGGTTTTCTCTGTTTAATTTTTATTAAAAATAAATATATCATTAATATATATTAAAGATAATTTTTTTTTTTTAAATAAATTCTAAATACCTATAAATTTTGGTGTTTGATTTTGGATTTTTTGTCATGGAAAATCAAAGCTCCCTGCTTGCTTCACTCACCAAAACATGGGTCAAGCTGCAGCTGTCCCCCTACGCTGCCCTGATATGCTGGGGTCTGCCCAGCGTTCCCTCTAAGCTGCACATGTGCGCAGCCACACACAAGTAAAAGTCTTTCCGTGCACAAACTTTTTAAGGCTGCACACCCTCCAGGATAGGACCTGGACTGCGGCATGGGCCACTTACTGAAGCTCCTTCCCGAGTTGAGCTGGGGCTGGGGCCTGGGGTGGGCTCCACCAGCTCCAAGGAACTGCTACACTCCCAGCCCCGATGCCATGTGCCTCCTTCCTCCTTGAGGCGATGCGGAAGAGCAGAGCAGTTCCTCAGATCCCCATCCCTGCCTCACCTCAGAGGAGCCACTGCCTGCTCCGCCAGCTCCAGGGAACTGCTCCACTGTGCCTCCTCGCTCCCCAAGCTGATGTGGGGGAGTGGAGCAGTTTCCCAGAGCTGGCAGAGCCCATCCCAGGCCCTGTCCCCGTGCCCATCCCTGTCCCTGCCTCACCTCTGGGAGGAGCCACTGCCTGCCCCAGGTGAGGAGTGAGGAACTTACCTTCAGTTAGTGTCCCATGCCAGCCCTGGTGTCTCCCCTTCAGTTCTATCGATTTGATGGCTGGCCACAGTACTCCACTGCACTGCTCTGGGCAGCAGTCAGCATGGAGAAGGTTGGTGGCCGAACCCTGCCCGCTCCCAGCTGGACAGTTACTTTGAGACACTTACTGGCAGACTGTGCCCTACCAAAAGGGGGAGGCAGGACCAAAGTGACACGCTTATGGACCAAAGCAATGTGCTCATGGACCACTACTCCTTAGAGGGAACATTGAGCCTGCCTATGCCATTGCCCCTCCTTCCCCACCTACAGCCCCAAGCCCTGCTGGAGGGGGGCCCTCCATCTGCCAGGAATATGGGGCCAGGGACCCAGGTCCACAGCCCCCTGCCCCCTGCAGCTGTGCTCAAGCTCCAGCTGCTGACCACAGGAGGCAGCAGCTGCTGCGGCAGAGCAGAACGTGCAGTCCAGCTCCCCCTCCTCCATGGGGGGCACGGCTGGAGCGGAGCCTGTGGAGGGGGTGGGTGCAGGCTGACCACTGCAGGTGTGGGCTCCCCACCCCACTGCCCTCCCCTTGGGGCTTCCAGAGCCCAGCAGGTGGGACCAGGCAGGGAAGCTCAGTGCCACCACTGGGAGCTCTGCGCTGCCATGGCGAGGCACCCCCTACCTGTCTGGCAGCAGCAGGTGGCACAACCCTGCACCACCACCCCTACTGCTGCTAGGCAGGCAGTGGGTACCTTGCCATGGCAGCATGAGGCTCCTAGTGGCAACACTGAGCTTCCCCACCCTACTCTGCTGTGCTGTGCCAGGTCCTACCCACTGGGCCACAGAGGCCCCGGTGGAAGGACAGCAGGACGGGGAGTACCAAGCCCACAGTGGGAAGCCTGCTCCCTCACCGTGAACAAGTCTGGGGGTAAGTGCCTCCCATGTGCCCCTGGGAGCGCATGTAGTGGCAAGGAGCCAGCCCCCCTGCCACTGCCACGCCCTGGACAAGCCACTTGTGGCTCCATCCCGCTCCCCACCAGGGCCCTGCAGTTCTGGCCCTGGCCTGCAAGCCCCACGCACCGCCCCAACTGGGCAGCAGCCCCAGCCCCAGCCCTGCCCAACTCCCTCTCTCCCTCCTTATGGGGATTAAATCCCTGTCCCACCACCACCAGACTTACCCACTATTTCCTGCATTTTTTTCCTTTAAAGAACAAAATCCAAGTTTTTCTCCTCCAAAATGAGAAAATCTGGGTTTTGCCATATTTTTCCTTGGTGAACAGAAAACCTGGATCCCTGATCATCACATATAACACAATATACATTTTTCTCCAGTTAAAAAGAAACTAGAACTTTGACTAATATGCTAAGGACTTACAGCCATATCATTCAGTTTAAAATAAAAGCAAAAACAAGTATATCTTTATTGCAACTTGCATGTCCTATATTACATATAGAAACACAGCAAACTAAGCAAAAAAAATCAAAACTTGTTGTTTCATTAGTCCTGTAGCCATTAGAATTTTTCAGATTCTTAGAACAAAAGCATCTTGAGCATCTTTACAGTGCATTCAGTGCTTCACTGAAAGTTGTTTCCACATCTGAGTTAATGTTTTGGAGTTAAACAGTCTGCAAGGCTGAAAAATGGGAGGTTCATTATCAGGAGCCACTTACAGATGCAGAATTGCCCAAGAAAGGATAACTCAATTAGTGAAAAAGGAGAGAGGATTATAGACGCCTGTGGAATGAAGAGTTTAGAAAGAATCAGGTAGGTTATAGTGAGCCATGAAGTCAGTTTACTCTATTACTGCTGCCTAAGTATAAATTCTGCTGGCACTGCCAGGCAGTTGCTTTTAAAATTGGGGTGGACCAGGAATCAAAGTGAGGTGCAAATGCACCACTGCATCCCCAATGGATCCACCCCTACACCTAGGGTGCCTGTAGACATGCTGAGAGCAAACTTCATTAACTGAGTCTGCTGGAGCCTGGTAGTCACTGTGCTCCAGCAGCCTCCCGCTTCTCGTGTATCAGTGTCCCCATGCTTCAGAATGGTGGTAGGGGTGCTTGAACTAAAGGTCATTGAACAAGTTTTAGTTCAAGTGCCCCCACCACCATTTTGAAGTGCAGGGATGATGATACATGAGATGCTACAGCACTTTAAAGCAGCTCTTGCAGCTGCTCTAATTAAAGTGCCCACCCACACTCCCAGAGCATGTCAAAGTGCCCCTAGTCTATATTTTTGAGCCCTCTAATTTCAACCAAGTTCTTCCCTCATGCCTTATGGGAGTTTTTATGAAGATCCCTTTTGTGAGATTTGGGGGAGAAAGGACTGTATAGAAAGTGTTTTTTTTCAGTATTCCCTGTCACGCCCAGATTTTCTGGAGCTCGTTTATGAGCAGTACCTTGCATGGGCCAGATTCTGAGATTCTTAATCAATTTTCAGACAGCCTTTACGTGGGAGCTGAGATGCCCAAACCCTTGCCATTTGGGTCCAATGGGAACTTTGCCTCGGCAATGATAGGCTAAGCATGTCAAGACTTATCCCACGTGGTTTGTTTTGCTCAAGGAAGCAGGAAGGACTTCAGAATATGTCCCTCATTTTATATGATATACCAGTCTGTGGGACAGATCCTGCTCTCAGAAATCATTTGGGACAACCCCTCCTTACCACCAGTGGGTCTGAGAATAAACTGTTCTCCTACAATGTGTGTACATGAGAAAATAAAAAGTTTACAATTTCTGTATGCAAAATTATCAAAAATAGGTGTTGTTGGAAAAGATTAAAAGCAATGACTAGTGGTGTTCTCATTCATTCCATGACAGGTGACTGGGTCTCTGTTATATTTCATCATGTTAGAAACGCATGGTAATTCATTGCCTGAAATTCAAATAGGAATAATAAAACAGAAATTGGCAAAACTATCTGGGAAATAAAGGAAGAGTTTAACACACAAATCAGCACGTGGGGTATTTTGACCACCTTTGATCTTAAATTGTAGATTACCATATTTGGTTCGGTGAGATCCTACTGTGACTAAGAGCAATTTTCTTTAAATAAGAAACTTCATATTTGTTATTTCCTTTCTAGATGATCTGGGTTTTCACATGTGTGGCATCCATCATTCTGGGGCTCGATTTGGGATTGCTTGCTGGCCTTGTGTTTGGATTACTGACAGTTGTGGTGAGAGTTCAGTTGTAAGTAACACAGAAATGAGACCTTTCAGTGTTATACCATTAAAATAATTTAGTGAAAAGCAAAGAAAATTATGACTGTTTTATGGAAGTAAAAAAAATCTACCGATTTAATACACAGTGCTGTTTCTGTGATCTTGTCATAATCACAAAAGTAATACAATGTGACTATTTACTGTAATTTTTTTGCATGCTCAGTCATCTCTCTTTTATGAACCCACAGGACTGTGGAACTTAGAAAAGGGACAGAAACATTTAAAAATGTGAAAAATTCTAAGAGCATTTCTACTGCATTAATTTACTTTAGTGCAGTGGGAGTCAGACTTCTTGGCAAATGTACCACAAATTAGCCCTGCATTCTCCCAGAGTGCCACTCCAATCCCTTTCCCCTGCCCAATCTGCTGCTCTGCTTTCTGTTTCCTGCTCTGTCTGTCACTGTGCTGGTTATCCCCTCCCTGAACTGTCATGTGCCATGCAAAGAGGCTGCCCGTGCCACTCGTGGCACACATGCTGCAGGTTGACTACACCTGTTATATTGATTTTTCAGCACTAAACAATTTATGGTGGGGGCACATAGGATAGAAAACATGTTGGAGAGTAACACTCTCAGCAGCTGCTTATTCTACATGTCATTGGACAGAATTTGTAGAATGAGTAGCACGTGTGTGTGTGACCATAATTTTTATTCTGCTTTGTTACCCTAAGACACTATATAAAATACTATGTAGCTAAAAGACTCATATTCACAAGTTAACTTTTGACTGGCTCTGGTATTTCCCTGATCACACAGAATGCAGGGCAGCAAACCAACGTAAAAGAACAGTAGAGGGTGAATGGAAGTGAAAGATGGCTTCATAGGACTTTGCTTTGCTACTCAGCTACCTCATATGCCTCTACTGATTTACTTGCTGAATATACACTTTTCCTTCCCCGGAGTCCAGAAAGCACAGTGTCATCAGTGCCTATCAGAGCTGTGCTGTCAAGAGACCCTTAGAACAGCAATTTTTTTGACAAATAATAAGTTAGCAAAAAAAGGAATTTTGGTCAGATTGAATTTGGTAAATAGTCTCAGTTCAAAAAGGGGGAGGACATTTAAAATGTAGAAAAAATGTGTTCCAAGATGTTTTAAATTAAATGTTTAATTTCAGAAAGTAAAACATTTAGTTTCAACATTTTGAAAATGAAACTTACATTTTTAATTTTAAAATATTACATAAATTAGAGGAAAAAAGATTAAAGAAAATAGTTAAATGATGAAAAATAAAACAATGCATTTTGTTTCAGATTGAATTAAGAGTTTTGGCTTGGTTCAAAGCAGTGTTCTTTTACTTTTTTGTTCTACCAAAAACCTGGGAAATACATTTCTGTTTGACCCCAAAAGATATTTTTTCCATTGTTTTTCCTGTTCAGTCACCAAACCAAAACAAAAACAATTAACCTTCCTTTAAAAATAGTGTCACTAGG